CTAAATGTTACACACTAGACCTTCAAGGCGTCATGATGTAGCTACGGAGCCTGTGCACGTATCCCTATTGTACATGCCTCCTCAAAAACAACCCATCGGTTTTATTGCGGTTCCAAGATGGCTACCACAAGTACTGTACTCAGTCGGCTTGTGTTTTCTCAGAAGTTTTTGATGCCGGTAGAGTTTAGAGTGAATACAACATTAAGGAGCCTTCAGTAAGCCTCAAATGTCTACTATATTCAGTTTGGTGGTGAACTATAATCTAAAACCCCTTGTGTCAAGTATTAATAGCAAAATCATCTGTAAAATGTTTGGTCCAGTTCTCCATATTGTCGGGTGTAATGGGGCCACTAGTTGCACACGTGATACATTCTGTTCATAAAGTCATAGATTTCTTTCCCATGTCACAACAGTTTGTCCCGTTCAGAGACTACATGGACCGCACAGGCAACCATGTGCTGAGCATGGCGCGGCTGGCTAAAGACGTGCTGGCCGAGATCCCTGACCAGCTGATCTCGTACATGAAGAGCAGAGCCATTAAACCGAACCCCGTACCACCGGTTTACTCAACCTCTGACCACCCCCAGACCAACCCCGTCTGAGCCCCACACACAGCTCCACGTTGGGGTGGAGCCAGGTCGGGATCGTTAGGAACCCACCTCCACAACCGTCCTTTGGGAAAATGGAAATGCATTCGAGGCCCTTTCGCAAATATTAGTCTAAATGAATAGACTCCATTTTGCTTTGGAGAAATAAGACTGCTTTGGGGGAACCTGCTGAGGATCAGGGAGTGTTTGAGGATGAGAGCGCTGAGAGCGGTCCGGTGTAAAAGGAAGGTTTTAGTTGTTTGCTGTCAAACCTGTCAAAGTGGTGATGTAATGGATAGCAAGTAAACCTGTAGAGAGAGCCTGTTTGAAGGCATAAATATATTAGAATGTGCCAGTGTGTATCATGTTTGTGATACCTTTTGGAATCAATATGTGTTAAACTAAGAAATCATGTGTATACTAATTTATTTATTTATTTATTTACTTATTGCAGAAATAATTTATTGCTTTGACAGGGTTTTAAGGGTGGGGATTAAAATCATATTTCCCCTGTAGTTTTCCATCTTATATTTTGTGACCAGTGTAATAAAAAAAAAATCCCCATTTCTACTTTGATAAGGACTGTAATATAAAAGCATGTGATAAAACTTATTAAGCAGTTTATTAACCATTTTCACTGATGGATAATTTTTGATTGCAAGCTATTATGTAGAGGACCTGCTGTGAGCTGTTGCCATACCGATTTTCCAGCACCATGTCTTGTACTTATTTCTAATATTTATATAAACAGAATGCACTAATTACTGTCCAAATAAAAAGCACAAAGGTTATAATGTTAATAAGCTGAAAACCATTAAGAACCAACACCTACCACAATGAAAATAATGGGAAGGACCCCTCAAGCATGGCTTTAACATTGTCTTCCACCATCATTTTAAACAAAATGACAAAAGGAAGAATGTTTATAAGAAAATTACTATACTGATATATTAAAATGAACTTATATTTATCGTAAAAACAGAGATGTTTACACGACAAATGAAGAATAATTCAAAGCACACACCTGCTTTCTTTGTTATTATGCAGAGCAGTAAAATGTACAGCTTAAGTCCTGCTGCCATATGTCATTTGTCATCTCGCTGTTTGTGTTTCTTTCCATTATATTTGTTGTGGTTACAGTTTATTGTCTGGGATTTTGCTCGGTACTTTTAAAGGACCCTACAAATAAACATCTAAAAGACTGATGTCAACTAATACCCATTTTGCCGCCCCCCCCCCCCCAAATTGATTTGTTTCCCCAGAATGAAAACTGAACAACCACAAATAAGCAACAAGAATATGAGATATTTGGATGTTGAATTATTTTTCTTTTAATTATCTAAAGTAAACAACAACTAATTGCACAAAACAAAAAACTGTTACAATACCATTCATTCAGTGTCTTGTGTATGCATTTTGTTTACTGTGTTTTACTCTTTCAAATTAATTCAATCCAGTTATATATTCACATTTGTTCACTGCGGTTTTTTTTTAGTGACAGTGTACACATTTTGTCAAGCCAGTTACAGCCATTGTGACTCAGTTGTGTACATCCTAATTTATCTATTTATAATGGCCATCATCACCATTAGTATCTCTCAGTCACTCTCAATATCTCAATCCAAATGTGCCTATTATATGGAAACATATCCAAATTCACTTACCCAGGTGTTATTCTGCCAGCAGCAGCAGGTCTCATGTTTCAGATGTACACACAAAAAATGTTAGTGACGATAAAACTGTTGCAAGATTAGGACTATTCCAGCTGCAGTGGCTGATACACGCTGTCTCAACCAGTGTTCAGTACTTTTTATACTTACAGCTCTTCACTAACGATCTTCGAAATAATGAAAGTTGACAGTGTCGCTGAGCCTTGTTGTACAATACTCAAAGTCAAGACTTGTTTACAATTCAACTGTGGCTATTTACATTGCCTCAAGAAAAAAGTAAACATTCATGGGTTTTCATTAAGAACTGAGTTTATCTTTGATCTGTTGTGTTTGTGGATTATTCAGTCTTATTTTCAACTTGAAGAGTTTCATCGAATGACACTGGAGAACTAACGTTTACAAAGATTTGTTGTGTTGTTCTCGGAGAATGTGAAGCTCTGATCTCTCAATGTTGTTATATTTTGTTTTGTGTTGATTCACATTGCTTTGCGGTCTTCATTAGCCATTTAATGTTCTGCTTTAGTGCTCTCAGAGAGAAGATAGAGTCTGGTGATACTGCAGAAACTCAGTCCAGAGGCAGTGAACTCCTTCTGTCACAGGCCCAGATCCATATTTGGCTTTTTCTTTTCTTATTTTAATTTTTCATTAGTGATGACATTTCTCCCACAGAAGACAAAGCAGCGTTTAATCTGCTGCCAAATTCACTTGTTCATCAGAAATGAAATGAGGCCATTAAGTTTAGTTACGTAACACACATAAATAACAGAATACCTCTACAGACAGCCATTCAAGCCAAAAGGAAATAATATCATATATTACACATTGAATAGATTTATTATGAAGTATAGAAGTATTATGAATTACTAACTCAAATAGCTTATATATTTACTTTACTTTAACTTATTTAAAATCTGCTTCACGAGGTTATCATTACTCACAGATAATTAATAAGGAAAAGAACGTCATTTGGCAGGTATGTTAGGTCCGCATCAGCATTCAGCTCATGTACTGTGAGTGTGATAGCGAATGTCTGTGAGATGAAATTAAAGCGTGAAGTGGAGTTGGGTCTGTATGTTTGCACTTTTCAAACATATTTTATGTAATCAATACTAATCAAAATCAGTTAAAGTAGGCTGCTCTTCTAAGATTATAACAAGCTATACTCTTTTTCTCCTTTTTTCCCTGAGGTTGATTCTTCCACAGGGAAATAAAAAAAAAATCCTGATCAATAAATATTAAATGAGCACAGTAATGACACTTTATGCAATTGTAAAACATTAGATTATTATTAAACATATTTTGCAGTCTAAAAGATGTCTTTCCAATAATACAATTATTTATTTTCTCTCTCGGTGGAAATGGCTTTGATTTTTCCTTCATTTTGAATTTTCTTTGAGGCTGAACTCTAATTATGTACATACGCCCCGTATAAAGAATATTCAGTGCCAAAATGTGTTCAGTTGTTGAACTTGGCCTCTTTAGACAATGTGCATGTTTGTGCCAAAATGGCAGGAAGTTTGGTAGTCTGCCTTCATTTCACCTGATTAGGGCATCTGCCATGTGCTTCATTGGTTATTTCGAATGTTATTTAGAGATAACGGCCACCTCTAGCATGTTGAATCTCTGGTTTCTTTCCATTCTGTTCCTATGAGACACATACTGTATGGGTTCTTCTTGCCACTACTCCTGTTTTATCCCAGGTTGTTTACATACCTCTCTTGGTCTCTGACTTGCATGCTGAATAATTTCCAAACCAGGTGTTGGACATGATATTGTCGTCATACTGTGGTTTGTGAAATGCTTTGTAATGGATTGCCTTAACTTAAGATTAATAAAATATTGACAACTTTGGCAGAATGCAAGATGTTTTTTTGTGTGTTTGCTATCTTTGAGACAAAGCAAGTAAGATGGAACACTTAACACTGATTTAACATTGCACTCCTGTAACACTGTCGTTTAAAAATGTGTAAAATAGTTAGTTAGCATTTTGATTCCAGCCGTCCCAGGGCCCTCAGTCACCAAGTGGTCCCATTGTTAATAAGTTTCTTCTTTTATTCATATAAAACAGTCATTACTGTATTCTGTAAAGCGTAAAATATATTTATAAATAAATAGATATCAGCAGCCGGCTATAATGCATCCGCTGTATTCTTAATTCTGATATTCCTATAAAGTGTTGTCTGTCTGGTTCCCCTTGAAAGGCCCCTGATGGCAGTTCTGCCTTATTCTTTATGTGCACATGCTAATTTAGTCTTTTGAATACATTTATAAAACACATAGTTGCAGATACTGTGTATTTGACGTAGATCTACGAGTTGCCTACATCACTCAGTGTTTGCAGTAGGACGGTGAGCTCACCTCCCCACTCTCAGGCTTAACTGCTGGGGGTTGACTCAGGGACCATCACTAAAATACTATTTTAACAATACCGTTTTTTTTTATACCTTGACAGTAACTTGTATATTAATTACATTTATAATTTAAAAAAGCATAAAAAACTGGTTTCACACTTATTTTGATTGTTGTGGGGTTCATTTTTTCAGTGTGCCTGAATATGCACACACACTGTTTAATCTTCTCCATTATGATTTTTTTTAACATAAATATTGATGTGATAGAAAGTAATGGCAGTTTTTTTCAATATCTTTCATGTAATGAGACCCACTGACTTCAAATCAATACCAAAAATGATTACTGCACTGGACAAACAGGACACACCTCTTTATTTTGGATTTTACTGCTTCTTCTATTTTATAGAAATATTTTTTGTGGAAAAGTATTGATTTTTTCCCCGCCTCAATAGCTTCCATGTAATATGACTCGAAATCAATATCAACACTGGACACATCGGACACACCTCTACTACAAATGCAGTTCTATTACACAGGTGCTGTTGAAACAAAGATCATAATTTCTACTATTATGGGCCAGTCAGCATGAAGGTATTGTTAAAAAAAGAAGATTTTGTGTCATTTAAATAGTAATTTAAACAGTAATTTATTGATGTTCCCTAAGTCAACCGCTAACAGTTAAGTGCTGGGAGGTGAGCTAAACACCCTCTTACTGCCAACACTCACTGACACTGAGTAAGAAGATGCTGCTGGATCCAGAGTGAATGTCTGTCGAAACTATCTTAAAACTAAGTTCATTGCGGTAGCTTCACTGTGTTTTGGGGTTGACAGAGAAACTAGTTTAATGTAGCATGCAGATCTTATTCATATAGTCAGACTGTTGACAGTGAGGATGGTATTACAGACTAAAATCTTTCCTGTAAACAGACTTTATAAAATCAATTGAGTTAAGCTGAGCTGTCTCAACTACATTTCCTGTTTTTTGATGAATCCAACTGTCACTGTTGGGTCATACATTATAAAAGCTGCTGTCATGAGATTTTTATTGCTCTTTTTTTTATTTTAACAAGATGTTTGATTTGTATCTATTTATCCCCCTGAGAGAGACTGGTGTCCAATCAGTGATGTACGCTGTCCTCTCACAGAACGCGTTCCTCTTAGAAATGTGTTTTTCTCCTCCTAATGAGATGCACTGCTGACGAATCAAGATGTCCACCTGGGGAGAGGGAACAGCAGCTGGAGCCATAAATTACCAGCCTAAGATAGAGCCAACACCTCCCCTGCCCACCCACTTACTGCTTGAACAATAACCACCGACTGGCAGCCAGGAAGAAAATCAACAGCTAATGACATGGAATTATACCCTTCTTATATATAACATTTCACATGTATAATATGCAAAAATCATTCACAAGAGAGTTCTGCACAGAACTAATTACACCAATTACTTTGGAGCTCTGGCAGGCAACATATTATGAGCCAGAATAGATGTTGAAAAACCAGTCTCATGGCAAAGACACACTTAGTCACACAATAGTTTAGCGTTTTGGGAAATACACTTATTCACTTTCACCTGCCTAGATTTAGATGAGAACATATTATTCTCATATTTGTACACTATTTATGAGGCTCCAGCCAGCAGCAGCTAGCTTAGCATCACATAAAGAGTGGAAACAGGGGGAAACAGCTTCCCCGGCTCTGTATGACAACAAAATCCACTTACCTGCACCTCTAAGGCTCAATAATTAACATGTTATATCTCATTTGTTTAATCCAGTTATGTGTCAGCCTATTTCTCAACCGGGCGCAGGAACTTTCTGAAGTTGTCACCAGCAGGATTCCTTTGTTTGGAGTCATCATATTTATTCGACAGATATGAGATTAGTATCAATCTGCTCATCTAATGCTTGGTAAGAAAGCAAATAAGCCCATTAAAAAAAACTGTCATTAGTTTGTGAAACAACCATATGGACACATATAAAGTATCTCAGATATGATACAGTATGCCACTGCATGAACTGTTTGTATGGGCAGTTGGTAATGCAGTATATAATGAAATGTTTATCTCTATATGTTTTAACACATTTTAACGGCGCCAAGGATTGAATCTGATAAATAACTATATATAGATGTTAAATCCTCTGAAAAAAATAATTTAAAAAATTTGCCCTCCAACACTGAATTATGCAGAGCAATGAAAACAGTGCATTCATGAATTAGT